TCTCTCTCACACACACACACACACACACACACACACACACACACGACCCGGAATCAGATCTCGCATCAAGTTTCCCTAAGAGTGCTAATGACAATCCACACAGACAACCACTGACTCTTTCACACTTCTTCAAGCTGCTCGATCGCCAAACAGATCAGGAACCAGCATCAAGGCCCCCTAACTGTGCTATTGGCAATCGGCATCGACAGCGAACGACTGTTTGCCACTTCCTTAAGGTGCTCTGTCGAACACAACTAGCTCTCTCTCTCTCTCTCTCTCTCTCACACACACACACACACACACACACACACACACACGCACGACCCGGAATCAGATCTCGCATAAAGTTTCCCTAAGACTGCTAATGACAATCCACACAGACAACCAATGACTCTTTCACACTTCTTCAAGCTTCTCGATCGTCAAACAAATCACGAACCAGCATCAAGGTCCCCTAACAGTGCTATTGGCAATTGGCATCGACAACGAACGACTGTTTGCCACTTCCTTAAGGTGCTCTATCGAACACCACTAACTCCCAAATCATTCGGTGACACTGTTCAACTACTATTTGTCAACCGGAGAAGGAGCCTCAGGTCCTTCCAGGAAGATAAATGGTGGACACAATTGTTGCGGGGGTACTGACGGGTTGCGGGTTCGTGTCAGGGGTACTGACGGGTTGTGGGTTCAACTTGTCAAATGTCGTGCACCAGGCTCGGTGTTCTGCCCGACCACAGTTGACAGGTTCAGTCCATCAACTTGCAAGGTGTCGGGTGCCGGACACCTTACCTTTTATGAAAAACAGGCACCACATACCCAACACGATTCCCTTTTAAATCGTGTACTGTCTGTCACAGCAACACTAAGCCAGGACAACATTGTCAAGGTGTCATACAAAGAGCCCCTGCCCTTTTTTACACTGTGTTAATTCGCATTTAATAACGACTATTCATGTATGAAGGGCTMAAAMCVCCCCGCCGCAACATTTGCCATGTCAACACCTCATATACTGACCATTTAAAGTGTCGCATGATGCCCTATTGGGCCATGTACTGAGTGTTTATTCGCAGTCGAAATAGTTCACTTTTTGACAAAAAGTTCATTTTTTACGAAATGTGTATTATATATCACTTGGTTGTCAGACTATTTTTTCCGGCGCTCACATACAGACATTCTCAAATACGCCCACACATGCATAACAAGAGGGGGAGAGGTGACAGAGTCAAAACTGCACACAGACAAGGATAAGCAGCGGAATTCAACCATGCACACATGGGGGAGGTCACACAATGACTCTCACTCTCCGACAGACTCCCAACAAACAATCACAATAAAGAACCATTAGCAAAATCACAATTGATATGATGCTGATGATGAACCAACTCGAACGAATATCATAACACTGTTTGTTACAGTCCCTTCGTCCCCAATCGATTTCCCTCATTCTACTAATAGAGTACAGTACTTTAACCTACACGTAGACTGGACTGAGTAACCGACCAATACCGTTGCAGTTTCGCTCTCTCGGCCTCTACCGGACCCGACTATAGGCTATAGGACCGTCCATCAGCTCTGGCCATTAGGTCCTGTCTGACCTGGAGTAGTCCGGATCTGCTATTCGCAGTAAGTGTACGTATAGGAAATTCGAAATACTGCTGGGTCTATATTTCCCATATTTAAAGATGTGGCCCTCACAAATTTTCCTCACAGGTTGGTCTCACGGTTACGCCCGAGTCGAACGAAATTACAAATCTAACCCTACGGGGTACTATACAGCCGCGCCATCAGTCTTCGCAGTCAAACTGAGCAAATATATATATCTATATATATATGTATGTATATATGTATATATATACAATCAACACGTAAAACTAAAAAGCCAACAAACATAAAAGTCGCATGTACAAGATACTACGACATAACATAATGTCAGTCGTCGAACAACTCGACATCATCTGCGTCCGATAGAGAATCGCATGATCGATCGGACACGGCATCCACCGGTACAGGCAACCTATCCCCGTCGCCAATGATGAAAACATCGTCATCCCCTATAACGTCGGGATCCGCACTTGAAGCAACGTCGTCCTCGTCACGGGCAATGGTATTCTCGCCTCTTCAAAAAAGATCGCGAGGCAGAGGAGGTGTCGAGGACCCGACCTCGCCCGACACATCACAGTCGTCGTACTCGAGGAGGCGTCGAGCCTAATATGAAACACATTTTGAACAGAAGATGAACGTGGACAACCGATCCATCCACGAATCGGTAGGTGGCCGATTGTGACAATAGTGGCTCGGCCTTGGACGAATCGAAGTCCCAGAAGGCCTGCGGACACGATACTCCAAGGGATCCTGCCATGCATGACTGTTCCATCGAATGACTGCAATCGCCAAACGCGGCTCATACGACTTCTCGAAGTGCAAGGCCTTCTTCACGTAAATGATGATTGTGCTCTAGAAGGTCTCAACCGTTGACGTGTGACGGAACTCCGCGTAGTACGAACAAACGGTCGTGCTGCAATGCCTACCCAACGTCTGGCGAATGATGTCGTACACGGGGTCGTCGTGCGTGTACAGAGGCAGCCGAGATGGGTCACCCGCCTTTGAGCATAGAAGCTCTCTGTCTACAACGCACCTGGAGTGGTCCCCGGCCCAATGGTCAGCGATCATCATGACATCATTGTGCAGAGTGACAAAGTTGTCGCCGTCATCTCTGCAAAGCTGGAAAGCACGAAGAAACCAATGCCCCACCTCATGCATATGGAACTCAGTCACACCATCTGCATCCACGACCAAGGATTTGTTGTTTTTCATCGTGCCGTACAGGTACATTTTGCTCATCACAAGAGCAACGAAGTCGCTCTTCTTCAATCGTTCTTCTTTTGCCGTTAAAGACCCTGGTCCAAAACAGTCCGTCAAGGCATCCAACAACTCCTTCTTCATGAACTGCATAAATTGAGATTCCGACACGCACTGATAAGGGTTGTTCAATTTCTTTGGCACCTTCAGTGTCACGACTTTTTTAAGTGCCTTGCGAATGTTTTTTACCTTATGATGGCAATCCTTCTGCCATTCAATACCCAGACGCTCCAACTGTGGACCCAATGCAGCACAATCGTCGGAGACAACACACCGGATCTTCAACGCCCTTGACAGCAAGCCTCTCAACAGGCGCACAACAGCAGGAACCTCAAGTTGGTTCGACGCCTTTCCCTCATTTTTTGGCCGAAGAGTGTGAACCCCCACCACAAGACGAGTATCACACTCAATCGCGGTAACAGTGGAATGTTGCGCAGACCTGGCCGAGTCGTAGCGACCGTCAACCATCAAAGTGACGGGTCTCCCTGATCGCATAACCGTGTCAATGGCCAAGTCACAATACCGCACGCTCTGTATAACAACCTTTGCATTCCAACCCTCACGCACATTCGGCTTACCTCGCATGCAACTGTAAAAAGTGGGCTTGTGCACAAGTGTCACCCCAAACGCGATGCAGAAGTCGTTGAGGACGGTATATGTCATACCCGCAGTGACAATCGCATGGAATACCTGTTGCTGAAGTCTGCAAGAGTACACAGCTCCCCCAACCAGTGCACTGTGCCATGTCCAACGACAGGACTTCTTACAAGCGAGCGAAATGCGACAAATCTGCCCATGATAACCGACATAGGACACATCCACAGCACAACCGCCCCCGTGGCGCGGGCAACTCAAATCGAATAACCCGAGCAACTGCAGCAGCTTCACCGGCTCCACGAAGACGACATCAGGCGCTTTCGAGCCTTCCCAGTGCCCCATCGATTCCAACACATGAGCTGACCGATTATTGCAAGGTCCGCTTTGCAAAGTACCATCCTTCGAATCGTCCCAGCACAAAGGACGTACATGTTCGAAACGCGAACGCGACCTGCCACGGCTTGGTGGCCGCTCGCGCGATCTGCGGCCACGCTGTGACCCGTGCCCTGAACGCGGTAGTGAATCATCCGACCCACAAAATGACCCACAATTGCCTCCACCGCTCCCTTCACCCTCACGCTCGACATCATCCTCAGCGTCCGCTGTCGAATCATCCCCTCCTGCTCCGAGACGAAACACATCTGCATGACTGTCGGCCGGTAGTGTTCTCTCGATCCTCGACGCCACACCGTCCCCGAACTCTGACCGGATGGCTGGCAATGACCAATGCAACAGTCGGTCGACGACGTCGCTCATGACCCCAGACTCGTCGCTCACTTTTTTCATCGCAGATTGTAAAAGTCGCAGTCTCTCCTTGCAAGCGGTAGTCAGGAACAAACGAGAGTACTTCGCGGAACCAGTTGACTACGAACCAAATTGCCCCAAGGACCCGCCCGAGTGTTCAGAACGACCCGCACCAAGATTTTGAGCGCCAGGATCGCAACGGTCGGGCTCATCTCTGCTACCACACACAATGTCATCCTCGTCGAACCGGGAGACGAGAGAGCGGCGGGCGAAATTACGGTCATGTTTGTCCCCGGCAGAGGCACGACGTGCATCATCCAATACACCCCCTGCCCATGACCTGATGTGGCGAACGAATGTGAGACCCGCGGTTCTACACTCCGACGTCCTCCGTCACGCAGTGTGGACCCTCCACTTCCAAACACCGCTCCTGATGATTGAGAACACCCCTCTAGGGGGATGGAGTCCAATCCGTTGCGTCCAACGAAAAGTGGAGGAGGAGGAAATGGCTGCGCAGCACATGACAGAAACTGCAAACGGGGAGGTTGCAATGGCGGCGACAATACAGGAAAACACAACGCATCGAAATCCGACAGAGGGTGTACCGGAGTGTATAGACGGCGCGCTGGAGACGGCAACAAGGGCGGCAACGGAGAATGCACAACTGCAACGCTGGGAGTGACAACGACCGTAGGCAAAAGAGAGTGAACACGAGGCCTCTTTGTTGATCGCATGTCATTCGGGCTGCCATAAGGGGATACTCCCAGCAAACCGCGCTATCCGACATGAGGAGACACCGGCGAAGCGTTGCCACGCGGGGGCCAAGTGGGTGGCCGTTCTGCTGACCTGCCGTCATCAGGCGTGCAACTGGCTGGTGCGTCATCCATGACAGATGGGCGGCCCTCTCCCACGCCGTGCGTGTGGTGCGTGGTGAATGGTGCAATGTCGGCAACACAATCTCAAAAAGGATGAACTGCCAAATCGCCAAAATAACAACGTCCGGTCCTGTAATCCGCAAACAGTCATCGGATGACAGACTCAGTGACTTGCATTGTCACCGATGCACTGGAAAAGAGACTGATTTAGAGAAAGACTCACGAACTTCTTGACAGATTGACCTTCGGCCAAACCGCCTGACACACATCCAATGCAGCGACCGAGTGACCAACTTGATGACATGTCAGAAACCTCGCAAGATAAACCGGAGTAATTGGATTGATCGAATGATCGATTGAATGATTGACTTTTATATATATATATATATATATATATATATATATATTTCGTCTACACAGAGAGAGAGAGAGAGAGAGAGAGAGAGAGAGACAGAGACAGAGAGAGAGAGAGAGAGAGAGAGAGATCAGTTCAATCGATCAATCAATCAATCAATCAATCAACCAACCAACCAATGATTCAATCAATGTATTGATTGGATTGACTGATTGATTGAATGATTGATTGATTAATTGATTGATTGATTGATTAATTGATTGACTGATTGAGTAATTGATTGATTGATTGATTGAT